GCGGTTATTATAAATCATTATTCTTCATTATTATTCTCTAAATAAAAATAAAAAAAATCTCATTTAATCATTATTTTGATCCATAGTTTACCTTTTTGTATCTTCCAAAGTATGAGCTTCCATTAGAGATCGTTTCTGAATTATTAACGAATAATACGATTATTATCGTTAGGACCATAAATAGAATTGTAGCGATGCTCACCCCAAATATTAGAAGCTTCTTTTTCTTTAATCTTCATGGGAAAAAATTATGTTAGAAACTGTCCGGTTCCAAAACAATTTGTAAGGAAAATATTTCATTGATAACATCTTTTTTAATTGTGATTGTGATTGTGATATATATTTAGAGTTTATGTTTATTTCTGAACTTCGTTAAAAACTGATCGCCTTTGTTTTTTCTTTTTTTCTTTTTTTTTTTTTCTTTTTTTTAATTTAAATGAACGATTGCTTTGATCATATTTACATCGTATTTACTATACACGTACACGTATCTATATTGTATTTATGTCAATCGCTTCAATTATAACGTGAAATTAATACAATATATATTATAATACAATATATAATATAATACAGAATATTGAATATATTTATATATATATATATATACATATTTAAGTAATTAAAAAATATTCGATTAAAAAAATGATTTATTTAAAATATAAAAATAACCGTGAACATTTTCCATTTTAAAAAATTATAAAAGTAAAAAAAAATATTTTACTTCTATCGTGAAGTGTGTTACGATGATATTTATCATAGTTACATGATACATCAATTAATTATAAAATATAAGACGTATATATTACGATAATTTATTTCTTTCACGATGAATTAAGGATATGATGAAATCGAAGAATATTAACTACTATTATTAAATATTAATATGAATCATAGAAATCATAAAATCGGAAAAATTCCATAAAATTTTGAAATTTTCAAAATTAAAATATTCTGTTCGATTTTTTTTTTCTTCCTTTTCTTTTGAAGAAATCTTTAAGACATGTAATTGAAATTTATTTCAAATTGTTTAATTCAGTTACATAAAATATATGATAAACGTTATTATATAATGATTTTATGCTATATAAATGTTTATATGCTTTTTTTTACAAATAATATTACATAATTATCCATTTAACAAAAATAACATTTTTTTCATTACAAATGATCGAAAGATTATGCGAATAAGTTTCATCGAAATGAAAATGTGAAAAGTTCTATAATGTCCTCACGTCAAGTTGTTAAAAATATAAATGGAAAAAAATATTATTGTTTTTATTATCGTAGAAAATATGAAAAGTGAAAGTATCTTTACGAACCCGATCATGTTGCTTGAACAAATGGGAACAGAGAGCTCTCAACCTTGACTAAACCTTTCAGCAAGTCGATCGGCGCGTTTTATACTAGCTACAATACAGATTCTATTTATTTATCCCCACTCCTATCATACATACGCAATATCAAATACTTCTAATTCCTCCATTTATTTTGAAAGCAATATCCTACTAAGTATTTTTATTAAAATCGGTTATCGATATCGATTTATATATAAATATATAAATCGGTATAGAATATAACGAACAGAATAAACGGCAAATAGATATATTGTATTCGTTTTTATAGCCCTTATACAGAAGAAACAAAAAATAGAAGAGAACAATTTTTTTCATGTAATAGAAATATTTATTTAAATTTTTTGTTATATAATATATATGGATGTTTAAATAATTCTATATTTTTATCGTATTTTATTCGAATCCTATATATCTTTGATTTTTCACACATAATTATTATTTAATTTTGTCTTAATTTTTTTAATAATTTTATAAATTATTAAGAATTCAAATAAATCATTCAAAGATTCGAGATAGTAGAAATCATTTTTCAAAAATTGTTTATATTTTTTGACTGAAAAAATAGAAGAAAAATAAGATTATTGAACATAATTCTATTTTATACATTTATTTCTATTTTAAATAATCTATTTTTTAAATTATTTTTAAATAATTCTATCTTTTTTTGATTTTATATATTTTTTTATTAATTTTTATATGCATAATTATTGTTTAACTTTGTCAATTCTATAAGTTGTTAAGAATTCAAATAAATCATTAAGATTTAAAATGCAGAAATTGAAAAAGTGTTTATATTTTTTATTTTAAAAATTAAGATTATGATTAAATGTAATTCTATTTTAAATATTTTTATATTAACAATTTATGTGAAAAAAAAAAAAGTAAAATTATGTCTTTATTTTATTTTTTGAAAAAATAAACAGTATAAAACGTTATGTTACGATGATTATGAAAATGTTAACATATATTACCCTCTATCGGTAAGTCTTAGAACCAAGCTTTCGAATGAGTAGCGATCATTTTGAAAAACGGCGAAGTCATTTCGTGAGCAGTACAAGGAAGATATACTTTCAAAAAATTTGACACAATGACAGCAAGGTACGATAGAGCTATTACGGTATTTTCACCAGATGGACATTTGCTACAAGTAGAATATGCACAAGAAGCTGTCAGAAAAGGTTCTTCTGCGGTATGATTATATATTTTATCTAACCTCTTTTGTGTTTGCGATAAATTGTTCAACAATTTTGTATATTTTTGCATTAACGTTACATTATTCATATATCATGATATGATATAACATGAAACTTTATTAATATGAAACAAAATAACATTAAATGCATTTAATAACATTAAATGCATGTAATAATGATATTTCAAGTTAAAATGTAAAATGATTTTTATATTTTATAATATTTTTTTTTTAAATAATCATATGATTTAATTATATAGGTTGGCGTTCGTGGGAATGATGTAGTCGTTTTAGGCGTTGAAAAAAAATCTATTGCAAAACTTCAAGAGGAACGAACAGTTCGTAAGATATGTCTTTTAGATGAACATGTTGTAATGGCATTTGCAGGTTTGTTTATAAATATTATTAAAATATATTATATAAATAATTAGTAAATTACTATATGTGTTTTATTTTTTTCTTCAAGGTTTAACAGCAGATGCAAGAGTATTAATTAATCGTGCACAAGTGGAATGTCAGAGTCATAGATTAACTGTGGAAGATCCAGTTACATTGGAATATATAACTAGATACATTGCAGGTAAATATGTATATTCTATTATTTTTTTTATTAAATATATATATATATTTATAAAATATTATTCACTTTTAGGTTTAAAACAAAAATATACACAAAGTAATGGTAGAAGACCTTTTGGAATATCGTGTCTTTTAGCTGGATTTGATTATGATGGTGTTCCACATTTATATCAAACAGAACCTTCAGGCATTTATTATGAGTGGAAGGTATATTATGTTCAGATATTATTTGTTAATTGTAAAAAGAGAAAAAAAAAATTTATTTTCTCTTTCTAAGGCAAATGCAACAGGTCGAAATGCCAAAACAGTTCATGAATTTTTACAAAAATATTATACACCAGAAGAAGTAGCAACTGAAAAGGGAACAATAAAATTAGCTATCAGAGCTTTATTAGAAGTAGTACAATCTGGAAGAAAAAATTTAGAAATCGCAGTAATGAGACGTGGTCAACCTTTACAAGTATAAACTTTAAAATTTATTTATTCATAATATTCTAAGAACAATTGATTTTAAAATATTTTTTATATTATAGATGTTAGATTTAGATACTATTGGAGAATATGTCACTGAAATTGAAAGGGAAAAAGAAGCAGAAGCTGAAAAGAAGAAACAAAAAAAGTGATCTTTACATGGAATTAAACTTATTATTCAATTATTGGTATTTTGCATAAAATAAATATAAAACACATGAATACAAAATTTTAAGATTCTTTTTATTTGTATTTTACTGTGTTTCTTTAAATATAGATTTAAAATTTATACTATTATATATATAATAAAAAGATATCTTTTTTTTTTATGTAATACAATTAAGATTAATAATAAATAATATATAAATTAAATTACAAAATTCTATTCGCTATTTGTATATGTATTTGTTTTTAAATAATTACATTAATTATATGTCCATTTTACGAATAAATAATAAAAATATTTTATTGTGTATATTGAGGCGATAAAGACCTACCACGATGATTAAATATTTGAAATGAAGGAAGATTTCTTAATGTTTCCCAAGATTTGTTTTCTAAATCTACAACTGCTCGAATTTCTTTGAAATCACCAGCAATATACATAACTCCATACATAACCAAAAATAAACTGATAATGCCTTGTATTAAAATCTGCAAGAAAGATATGTCATGAATTGCATATTTTTTTTATGTTAATTAGAAATAAATATAAATATTAATACTTACATCAATTGGTAAAGTAATGAATTCTTGTTCTGTTATTCGTAAATATGAACGATCTATAAATTTCATTACAAAAGTTTAGTCAAAATTTAAACAATTTAGCCAAGAAATATTAAAAAATAACCATTATACTTTTAGTTGTAAAGATAATACATACGTTGAGCAGCTGAATATGCTGTATGTAATATTGATATCAATCCTATGAATGTCGTAAATTTGTGTAAAGTTGTTGCAGGCATTTTAATATTATAAAATAATATAATAAATATTATAACAATATATATGTTAAACGATAATTATGATTTAATCCTCACAATAGTAATTCTTATACTAGTATAAATTATTAGAACCAAGGCTTGTTTTCATGTTTTCATGTACCAAAATGATTGTTCCTTTTATAAGTTATCTTTTTTTATTTTATACCGCGTTTCTAATTATTATTATTTTTTAAATTATATCTAGATATAATTTTTTTAATTTCTAAAATATTATAAGTCAAATTATAAGATGAATCAATTATCTAGGAATTAATTTATCGTATAATATGAATTTACATTCTAAAAAGTGGTTAAAATGAGAGTTGAATAGTGAAAAAAAACAGAAAGTAAAAATATGAGAATCAGCACTATCTCCAAAGTGCATAAATAAAACTTGTAATAGATAAGAAAAGCAAATAATAAGAGGATTAAATAAGGTAAGAATTGATTGTATTACCATCTCTCGAATACTTTTGGAAAAATATCATTCGAAAGATGGCATTAACGATCAATTCTTATCCTATTTCTATTCTTCTTGTCTATTATTTACTCTTCCTATTTATACTATTAATCTCATCTACGATACTTTAGAGATGGCGTTGAGTTCCCATATTTTTATATTTTCTATTTCTGTCTTTTTCCTCCTATTTGCTTTTCTTGTCTGTATTCATTTTTAATGCATAATCATAACAGATACAAGATGTCAATTAAACACATTTTCATTATTTTTTTTTCAAAATATATATTTTTTTTAATTTTTAATGTAAAAAATATATATATAATATTTTTAACTTTATAATATATGTTTACGACGATTTTGCAAAAAATATATACTGCATATGATGTGGAGTCCTATTTCGACGATAGTGGTAGGATTTAAATTTTGTAAATAAAATATATTTCCTATTTTTTATATGTAATTTTGAAATATTGAAATTTAATTTCAATTATTATTATTTAAATTTTAATTATTAAAATCTTATTTTGGGCTGAAAATAATACTAAAATAATAATATTAAAAATAATAAGGATCTACTATCCTCCATTATAGGACGAAAAAATATATTGAATGTTAGGTCTATTCTGTACCTCGTTTGTGATGGTATAAGCAAAAGTTGATCGGTCTTTATCTATCTATATATATATGTATATTAAAAATGTTTGTTTATAGTTGATAAATATCTCAGTAATATTAAATATCATGGATTATGAATTTAAATTAAAAACTGACACAGATCGAACTAAGGTCGAAGATCTTTTTGAATTTGAGGGATGTAAAGTTGGAAGAGGAACTTATGGTCATGTCTATAAAGCTCGCAGAAAGGAAGGGTTAGTTTTTCTAACCTAACATAGAAGATTAATATATTAAATTATATTTCATATCAGTAAGAATAATCTTTCATTTTTCGTAAAATATAAAAATTTACAAAGGAATATTTTCTGTTATTAGAAAATTGTAGCTTTTATTTAAATATTGAAATAAAATTCATTTTTGTACATGTTTTGGTTTCTTGTACATATCTATAATTTCTAGAATACTCTGTAATATATATAATATATTATATTTATTTATTTTAATTATTCTAAATATTAAGCATTATATAAAATACACTTATACAAGGCGAGAATTCTTTTATCCTTTTATCCTTTCACTTTTTGCGATGATAATGCATATTTGACATTTGAATAGTGTACCAGATAGCGAATTAAAATCTCGACCAGACACAAAGGATTTTGGCCTTAAACAAATAGAAGGTACAGGCCTTTCAATGTCTGCATGTCGAGAAATTGCAGTAAGTATTTACTTTATTCTTATTAATATGCATATTATATAAAATTATTATAAAATCATTAATATGCATATTATCCAAAATTAAAAGCATAATACGTATAATAATATTAATTATTTTATTATAAATATTTTGACATATATGTTTCTACAGTTACTTAGGGAACTGAAACATGTAAATGTGATTACATTAATTAGAGTCTTTTTATCACATATTGATCGCAAAGTATGGTTATTATTTGACTTTGCTGAACATGATTTATGGGTATGTTTATGTTTCTTAGAAATATTTCATAATTGAATTTAATAATCAATTTCATTAAATATTTTCTAATTTTAAACATTAATAATTTTTATTTTAATCTGTAGCATATAATAAAGTTTCATAGAGCAGCAAAAGCTAATAAGAAACCTGTTATGGTACCAAAGGGTATGGTAAAGTCTTTGTTGTATCAAATTCTTGATGGTATTCATTATTTACATTCCAATTGGGTGCTTCATAGAGATTTGGTAATTTATTATTATATATATATAGATTTAAATCATACATATATATCTTCATTAATTTTGTATTGAATAATATTAAATTTAGAAACCAGCAAATATCTTAGTAATGGGAGAAGGAAATGAAAGAGGACGTGTTAAAATTGCAGACATGGGTTTTGCTAGATTATTCAATGCTCCTTTAAAGCCTCTTGCAGATTTGGATCCAGTTGTAGTAACATTTTGGTATAGAGCACCGGAATTACTTTTAGGTGCTAGACATTATACAAAAGCTATAGGTATTTTTTTTGTATATATTTAAAAATTATAAATAACAATATATATTTTCTTTTCAAATATTTTTTTTATTTTAGATATTTGGGCTATTGGTTGTATATTTGCAGAGCTTTTAACTTCTGAACCTATATTCCATTGTAGGCAAGAAGATATTAAGACTAGTAATCCATATCATCATGATCAATTAGATAGGTAAACAAATTATTTGATGTATCATTACATTAAATATATAAATAACATAGAATATAATATTATAATAAATATAACAACTTTCATTAACATTTAGAATATTTAACGTGATGGGATTCCCATTGGAAAAGGATTGGGAAGATATTAAAAAAATGCCAGAACATCCTACATTACTTAAAGATTTTAAAAGATCAAAGTTAGTATCCTTCTAAAGACTGATATATACATACACCAACACATAAAAAATGCATAAATGAAAATTTTTAATTTAATTTTAATTGGAATATAAATTTTCTTACAGTTATGCAAATTGTTCTCTTACTAAGTATATGGACAGACATAAAATTAAACCCGATAGTAAAGCGTTTAATTTGGTATGATTAAGTAAAATATTTTAATTCTTTTTAAACTTATTTTTCAAAATAATAATATTAATTTATTTCAGCTTCAGAAATTGTTAATGATGGATCCCAATAAACGAATAACCTCCGAACATTCTATGCAGGACGCTTACTTTCAAGAAGAACCATTACCAACGCAAGAGTAAGTCTTTAAGAATTTAAATTACGTTTTTATAATCGTATATATCTTTTGCTTTTAAACCGAATTAATCTATTTAAATAATTAATATTGTAGCATATTTGCCGGTTGTCCTATTCCATATCCTAAACGAGAATTCTTAACGGACGATGATACAGAGGAAAAGACTGAAAATAAAGCACGTCAAAATCAACAACAAACTGTAAGTATTCATTAACTTGAATAATTTATATTTTTCTTTTTACGAATTGTATAAAATTTTAGCAACAAAATCAGCAACAACAAGGAAATGGCGATCATAATCACGGACAAAATGCAAAACGAGTAAGACTTAATGGTCCTCATGGAGCTCCAGAATTTCATCAACATCAAAGTCATGCAATGACCCATCAACAACCTCCAGGAATGGTTTATTCTACCGCACAACCAACGCAACCATCAAATTTTCATCAACGTTTTTAAATGATAAGGCGATTAAATTCGCCAGTGAACAATTAAATTATTAGTCTATCAATTTAATTGATTTCTGTATCAATGAACAGACGAGCGATTTCTGTATATTCACGATATGATAATATAATTTTATTTATATATTGTGTATATGTACATGCGTTACAATGTGTACTTTTTACACTTTACATTTGCATTTCATGTATATGCAATATCACGTATTCGCAACATGTTTACTAATATTACAAAAAATGATATGTCTATTTTTTACGTCTTTAATGAACGACATTGGTAAATTTTAAATAATTTGATGAATGTAGATAAAATTAAGAAATCTTTAAAAAATTAAACAACTCTTAAATATCTTTATATTCATCGCTATTAAAACCGTACATGAAATTTTTATGATAAAGAAAAAATAAAAACAATTGTAAATGAAAAGAAAGAGTTTGAAAATGGAAAAAAGAATGAGAAAAAAGAAAAGAATGCGAATTATAAGTAGTCTTTGCTCATCGTCAAAGATGACAAAGAGTGAAGTTGAATCGAACAGAGAGAAAGTACGCATGCGCGGTAAATCATTCCATAGCAAGGTGGCGGCCAGTCGCGCGCTCCTGAAACGCAGTTTCCGCGAATCGGTGCTTGACGAAAAAAGTGTGCGTGAACCGCGTGCTACCGCAATCGAAATGCCGATCAAACTACGGATCATTTATTCGCCAAACAATCTGTTGTTTAAATGAAAATAAAAGGTGAGAAGAAAGTTTTATCCAACAATATATGCGATTCTTTCTTTCGTTCATCGTCTTATTAATTATTCCATTAGTCTCGAAAATGAACACCTGTCAAATGTATTCGCGTTTTTTTTTTTTCGTTTTCTGAATGAAAGATATCACTCTTATAACAATTGTCCGTACCGTTAACATTTAAAATATTCTTTTTTTCTTTTATTTTTGAATTCTCTTTTGTTTTTAACAAAACGAATAGTGCATGAATTATTTTCAATTTCGATCGAATAATCCCACAATATTAAAAGATCTCTCTTGCGTAATAAATAATTAAATAAATTTATCTAATATCACATTTATAAACGATTTAATATAATTTATTTATTTATTGCATTGGTTCATCGAAAATTAAAATTCCATGTTTTTTTTATGATTATTATTTTATAAGCGAAATATAAATAATAATATTTCACATAACACTCTATGTTGCATAATTAGAATCCATTTTCTGAATCGATTTTCTCTTTAATAAAAGATAGAAATTATTCGAGAAAAGTAGAAGAAATTAAAATTTTGAATTTTGAAAATATCAAGAAATGTGATAGATGTATGAGTAAAAGTAGGGGAGGAGGGAACGATCCTGACCACTATAATCCAACAACCAGTCGGGGGCCATGACCACGTTGCGACAAGGTAACCGCAATTAACTCGTATCGATATATTAACGGAACGATTTGAAATCCTAACTGTTTCCGATTCGTTTGCAACAACAGCTATCGAGAACATGTTAAACGTTAAACGATATACGTGTGTAGGTCTGCATGGATGTGTATCTACATATTTCTAATGCAAAATAATCGAGATACAGTGTCAATTGATTCATCATCGACATAAATGTTCATGTGCAGTCCCGATGTTAGGAATCCCAATAACACAAAACAAAAGAAAGAAGAATCGAAGGAAAGATCAGCATTTCGTTTTGCACAAGGACGTTCGGAATATACGAAGGCAAACGTGACGAAACTGGTAATGTTGTGTCGGTACAAAGATCAGTGTGAAAGATTTTATTCGAAATTATAATAACGCGATATAATATCAAATAATAGTGGGGCATTTTTATTTGACAATTAGAAATCGTGTTAATTAAAACATTTTTATTATTATCGATATTAGAACGCAAAATAATTATACATGTATCGATTCGACAAATTGTCGATAATCGATAAGTTGCGTCGATGGCTTACTGTTTCGCGAGTAATATTTTTAACATTCGTCTCATCCTCGTAGAAAAAATAATCAATTATGGATGATTTCGTTGATCGTTTTCCGTAGGTAGTTGTTACGAGGTCATATGAATCAAAAAGATTCAGGATATCTCTAACGTACAAGAGTCTATACATGGAGATTTCGAGATGGCCTCTGTCGATATACGCCTTCTCTAAAAGAACGAGTGGAATCAAGGTATCCATATGATTCAAAAATATTGCGACAAATCACGTATGTAATTAGAATTACATTTGATGATCGAACAATGATTTATGATCGTTTCAATACTATGCGTCAATTAACTGTAAATTAATTTTTACATTTTTCGCCGAAATATTGACGCATTCATCGATCCACGGATTATATTTTGTCGTATCGATTCGAATCGCAAACATGACGTGTCCGTAGTTCGTATGGAATTCTCTTTTCGGCGACGAGAAACGACATTGACGATGGTCGAAACTTCTTTTGTCGGTATTGAAAGACGTGGGAAGAGGAGAGCAGATCGATGAACATATACATACACTTACTTAGCTTTGCGTATTCGTACGCGAAAGAGAACGAGAACGAGAACAAGAACGAAAGACAGAGAAAAGAAGCGAGGTCAACAAGGTACCCGATATGGTATCCTACAAGCGTCGAGAGTGTTATTTTATGTATATCTATGCCTAAATATACACGAACACACGTAAATTCGTACATGCATTCGTAAGATCGTCTCTAATATATGCAATCAATTATACGTAATTTTATATCAGATTTTATATTCAAAGCTTTGTCACCGATATCCATCAATATTTTTCAAATGAACTTGCATTCGAATCATTTATTTAGAAATTTAAATCATTAGAATTAAATGATTGGAACATGTATAACACGCGTATTAATTATAACGCAGTTAACTCGAGGGAATAATCTCGATTAGAAACACAGGATATTTTTTCTCAAAAAACATTTCGAAAAGTAACGCGATCACGAACAATCAAAATCGAATGTCCCGTTCGTTTCTTCTTTTTTCTTTCTTTTCTCCTTATTTCAATAAATCGAATCACGGCCTTCCTAAGATGGCTAGTGCCACTGTAAATGCAGACACGCAAGTGCGAACTTCGAGGTCGTCGGTAGGTACGATTACAGGAAGCACCAATGACTTAGTACGGTTGCAGCAAGGCGTACCAGCATGAATCACTTTTACCAGCCTCTACCACTCACGATATATTCGGAAACATGTTCGCGAATCGTATTTACTTACAATTAGAAGCATATTCGTTTCTCGTTGACTCTCGTGGTTTTTTATTTTCTCTCTCCTTTCAGACTCGTTTACATCGCTTGAAATATATATATTGAACTATATGCATATGTATGAACTTATACACGTATGCTCTTTTTTTACAATCGGCTAACTTCTCCTCGATCATACGTTGAAAGAAAATTTGTTTTTATGTTATTACTTACAGAGACTGGTCGATGTCAAACTTCCTAATCGCGTTATAAGCCCTTAATAATACATACATACATACATACATACATATATATGTATTCGAGAATCTATTTTTAAACATGACTAGAAAGAGAGAGAGAGAAATATGCGCGTGCATACGATGACGCAATTCTATGGGTCTTTCCCCTATATTTCCCTCTCTCCAGTTCTTTCTCTTTCGTCCTTTCACTCTTACTCTTATGCTTCTTCATCTCTCTTTTCTTTATTACTTCTTCTCTCTCTCTCTCTGTTCCTTTTACTTCTCTACAATTGTTCCTTCTTCTTTTTATATGTCCTCCAATATATTCCTATATATTCATGAATATACGAAGCAAGAGATTATTTTTCTCATTATTAAATCTCATCGAATAAATCGATATCTTGATCGTATAATATTTATCATTATCGATATTCTTTAAAAATTGAATATATTCCTTAAAACTATTCAAGATGTACTTATTTCCCTCTCCCTCCTCTTTCTTTCTCTCTTTTTCAGCTACCAACGATCTTACTCGCTTACAAACTTAAGTATGTGATACGCATAGAAAATAGTATGACACATTGACTCTCAATCAAGACCTTGTTCTAACTTCATTCGTTTTATTTCACGTTAGGAAAAAGAGAAATGTAAAATCGAAATAGCGAGATATATACGTAAGTACTTATGAATTTACATATGTATGTTTTCAAACGATGACTTGTTAAAAGTCGTCGATCCGTAAATACGACAATAGACACGAAATATACTTTGTCCTAAATATCAATTACCGTTACGAAAAAACTATTATTCCTTCTACGTTGTATACGTTGATATTATTATACATATTATTATTATTATTATATAATAAAAAAATATCGAAAATATCGAAAGCAATCGTAATCACATTTTCGTTTGTTTTTTCGTTTCAGATTCGGGGAGCATTTTCCAAATGCTGTCAATATGGATTCCCACGTTGGTCTCGACTATATCGTGGATAATCCTGATTACTGCGTCAAGCTTGCCTCGGGTAAAATTATTCAACGTTCTCGATAGCTCGAATGTCGGATAACCGGCTCCGATTGCATCCTATTAATCGCGTATCTCGTTAAATTTCAGCCTTGGACACCGCTTGTCCCTCGGTGAAGAAGCAAGTGGTAGAATTGCTTTCGGCGTTGTGTGTTTATAGTCAGGATGGAAGGCAGAGGGCTATCGATACTCTTCACGCATATCAGGTTATCGAACTTGAGTAACAAATTCGAATATAATAAGGATCGTTGATTTCGTTCGTTTTTTTTTTTTTTTTTTCGTTCGCAGAGAAATAAAATTATTACCGCAAAAAAAAAAAAAAATTTTTATCGCAGAGGTATAAGGTAGCGTTTAAACGCAAGGTTGCTGTGTATCCGTTCGATAGTACGTAGGTACTTAACGCAGAAAGCGAACCCGCATGCTAAGCTTGCGTAAAAGTCACAGTTCAAGGTCTTCCTTCGACAAACAAAAGAACAATATACCGATATATCATTGGGTTGGAAACCTCCATTCGCGACACCACTAGCCTATCTACGCTACGTACATTCTGCGCCCCACCGCAGTTACGTTTATGCCATCATCATACTTTTTCCTCGTTAAATTGCTTCGCTTTCTAATCTAATCTCTTCGCGAGTCGCAATGCCAAAACTAATGGACACGCGACGCGTTTCTTCCCCGATGAATGCTATCGTTCTAACGGACAGTAATAACCGAACGATAATTCCAGAAACGAAAAACTGAACGATATCGTTTACGAATCGTGGTAGAAGAATTGCAAAACGCAACCGGCGAAGATTATCGAACCGCGCTGTTGGCATTCATTAATTGTTTGGTCATCTCTACCCCGGTGCTGAAGGATCGCATAAGAATTCGCAACGAGTTCATCGGTTGGTATTCGAATATAAACGTATACGCTATACAGTATAAGAAAAGGATAAGAAAAGGATAACGCATATTTATTTCGTTCGCAGGTTTGAAGCTCCTTCCGATTTTGAACGAGCTGCGGTGAGTACTCTACGACGACCTGGATTTATGAAATTAACTGATTAACACCTTAACATCGTTGAATAATAAATAATAATGAATGTTACGAAAGGGCGCTTTATTGTACCCACACCTTTTCATTCGCACCCAATGCAACGTTAATAAATCGTTGTACGCAACTAGCCAGAATTATTTAAACTCGGATTCCATCCGAGGATCGGTTCACTAACTAAAAGTAGGCATTCGTTCAGCCTATTCGTTGTAAGGCTATTGCATGCACTAATCTTAATCATCGCGTTTATTCATCCGACGCTCGATCGGTATATCTTGCTACATCAATACCGATCGTTCTCCCGTTTCCTCTCTCCGTTTTCGTTACATCGTTCGCATTACGTACGTTCAGAGATGACCGTAGCTATATTCAGCTATATCTTTCCGTTTCTATGTGTCGCATAATAAACGACACACACACGCGCGACGCGACAATATCGATCGACACGAGAGCGAAGCGAAAGTTGTAAAAACGCGATAAAAACCATTGGATTGGAACTACGAGTATTCGCATCGAATCACTATACGCGAATCTCTCTAGCTTTTGTCTTTTCTGTTTAGAGAGTCTCTCTCTGCGAGTCTACAGGAATAGTACGATCTGTCATTCCTTCGCGGGATGACGGACGAGCAAACTATTCTTGATCGAGCAAAACCAGTCGCACAAGTCGCTTTAAATATCGTTCGAAATATACATCTATAGATCGAAATTTATGACGAAAAAAGAATCGATATTCTCGATATCTATTCTCGATCGATTCGATCAAACGATTCGAAGATTCTTCGAACATTTCTTCGAATCTTTTTTTCTCCGTTCATCTTTTGCATCGTGCTTGCTTTGTTCCCAAATTTTTCCTCGTTGGAAAAATTCGTTTTTCGAAAAAATATAATCGCGACGAAACGAGAAAACGATGAGAATAGATAGAAGAATTTGTTTTCGAGTTGTTGGTCGAAACGATCGAACGATTATCTCCGAGGAAAGAAAGCGAAAAGGAAGCGAAGTGGGAAATGGCGCGCGAAACGGTGAAGAACAAGGGTAAAAAAGGAAGAACCGAAATACATAGGTGACTCGAAGGGAGAGAGAGAAAAGCCCGAATTAACTCTCCGCCGCGAGTAAACTCGTGTCGCGATGAGACGCAAGCTATAGCTGCAACCAGAGTATTAAACTGGAACGAGCAAGACGCGACGCGCCATTTCTCCATTCGTTTCGATATTTACACGCATTTATATTCGTTCGAATTGTTCGAAACTTTTTAATTTTTTTTTTCTTTTTTTTTTTATTCCTTATACTTATGCATACGACTCGAAAGAAAATACGTCGAATATATCGGTCATAAGTGAGAAATATTTTAGCGAACCTGTTCCACGAACAGGTTGAATCTAATTTGAATATAGAATATAAAATGGTGTTTTCCGTGTAAAGTGGTATTTTAAGTATTTCCATTCCATATAGTGATAGTATATCGAGAGTGTGAAATCGAAGAGAGAAAAAAAAATCATCGTGTTCGAAACGCAATCGAAGCTCACGTTGGTCACGCGAATAAAGTACGACAGATACTCTAACGTAATTCGTAATAACGTTTACGTTCAAATGCTTACACGATCGAAGAAAGATGGATAAGAATCGTGTGGAAGGAATTTTCGCGCACCATCTCCACTCGACACGCAAATCGTTCCTCATTTTTGTCGTCAAGTTTAACTCGTACGTTACAACGTATAATATATATGTAATACTTATATATACATATATAATACCGTGTAAGAACTACCGGGATAGAGCCGGGAATTCCGTTCGAAGCAGAAACGATGAGATGGATGGGTATACCTTTTGAATTGAAATTGCACGTTTCGAAAGATTCTGCTTCGAAAGGGTAATTTAACAACGGAAACAGAAGGATCGATCAGAATGGAAAATAGGTAGGACAGAGATGGAAATATAGAAATTCCGGAGGAAACATGCGTGTCGAGCGGGACAAAAATAGAATCGAACACCTACCTACCTAAGGGCTTAAAATGTATCCGGATCAGGAAGATGATGATTTTCTTGCAGGAAAAGCCACGCACCGGATCTAAGAGTGCAGCTCGATGTTTTCGACGATCAGCGAGAGGCTGACGAGGAATTATCGAATCACGGACCGCCCGGGATCGATCTTTCTTCCCACGTGGACGTTTTTTACGCGATATTTGGACAAGTAAGAATCGAACATGGTCGAATTTATTAGATTCTAGATTTTTTTTTTTTTTTTTTTTT